GACAGGTGGCTCTACTTCAACGACGATGTGGTGACGTGTGAGGAACCGGCCGACAACGACAGTCGCGCCTATATCTTGTTCTATAGCCGGACAGATACCGGCGCTCTCATCGATGGCGCTCAGCCTAATGCGGAAAGGGATTCGTAGTTAGAAGAGGCGATTATTTTGCTGACTAATAGTATTTAATTAATTAATATTAACTGTAATTTTAAAATTAAAAACAAATTATCATTCATTTAACCATTCATTTCAAGTGTTGATTATTTTTAGTAAATAAACTGTTTTTTGACTTTTTTGTATTTTTTTTGTTGAGTTCACTATAAATGAATAACTATTATAATGTTTATAATATAAACAAGTACCCTAATCATTTTTAAAACCAGCAATTTATGAACTATTGGTACGGTAGTAAGGGAACGGTAATTTTTAAAGTTATGTAACTTTTACTAAAGTTTGAATTTATTGTAATTTTCATTTGAATGTTTCCGTAGAACTTATCCATTATGGGAGTAGAGGGTGTTTGTTGGGGGTGTCGCCACCCTAACCCTCCCATTCCTTAGGATTGTATTTTTAAAATGTTTATTTTGTTGTAAAAAGTTTGTTTAAGTAAAGGGGTTTCAAAAACAAACCGCAACATAACGTAACGTATTATACGGATGACTAGTTTACATAACAAAACCTTTGATTTTTTGTTTTGATTTTTCAAAAAATAAGTTTTTTATCAAAATTCACACAAAATTATGTTTTAATTAGCATTTAATTAGTAGTTTTTGTTTTGTTGTTTTAAATGCATTTTGTTTCGTATGATTTTGGGCCCTAAATCGTGAGTTTTGTTTGCTATGAGTTATAACTTATAAAAAGTTTTTTACATTTTATTTCACCACACATTGTGTGTTCACAAATGAATGCATTTTTATGGGTTAAACATTTGTTATACAAATATTTAGACTTTAAAAAACTTTATCATTTCTATGGCTAACATATAGGCGTTGGAAAATCAATACAAATATTTGATTTGATTGTCACATAACCAGTGAATTAGTTGTCAAGTTTTATAACAAAAACTATATTTAATTATGTATTTAATCGCTTGTATTGTAAACACATAATGCGATTGAATATTAATATCAAAAATAATTATTACATTACTAACAAAAAAAACTAATATAACAATTCAGATAACAATAAAATCATTAATTATTTTACATATAAGTCGACAAATGACTTCAGAGGCCTTCAAAAACTCATTGCTTTTTTAATAACCCATTCAAACAGTATTTGATAATTAATTTCAAATAAAAAACTTTTTTATATCTAAATGGTGTCAAATGGTGTTTCATTTTTAGCCCTCATTTTACGCCCCCTCGAGTCCCAGGGGGTATAACTAGCCCAACATATTAGCCTATCATTGAAATAGTGTAGAATTTGTTATATTAATTTGTGCATTTGATTGTGCATGCTGCATTTTATTTATAATTACTCAATAATGTGATTCATATAACATATTCAAGTGCTTTAGTAATCAATTAATAGTCAAATTCTGTGTAATTCTGTGATACTTAACGTGAAGCCTATTGTATGACTGCAATAGCGTTTCAATCCATGAGTAACGCCTGGAAAACGCCTAATGTTTTCAAAATAAACTATTAATTAAAAATCGGTACAATTATCTCATTATCACTGATAAGTCATGTCTTTGTCGCCACAATTCAGTGATAATACAAATGGCGGTCGAAGAGCACGAACTCCACAGTCGACTGACAGACACGACGCCCGACTCATCCACTTTGGAGACAACTGTCCGCTCGCGCCGACCCCGGGGTTTGTTCAGACAGTTGGCTAACCGGTTGAGGACCGCCGCACACCTGTCCCGCGCCCGCAGAGCCGACGAGCTGTCGGAGCCCACCGTCGGGCTAGTAGTGGACGATCACGAGCTGTATAAGCGGCCGATCGCCAGAAGCACGTCGCGAATAAACGGCGCTAAAATGCCCGCCAATAACATACCGGCGCCGCCTGTGGACAGACAAATATCACAGGCCAGTGGTGTCGTGGGAACCGATGTCTTCGACAACAACCGGTATATCCTTTCGCACGGGAAGTGTCACTTTTGGCGTAACTACGCCTACCAAGAGGTACGGGATGTTGTTTTTTAAAGTGTAGTTGTTTGGTGCGACTATTTCAAGGGAACTGTAGGTTTCCGTCTCACATGTTAGAGATAATTAATGACAAAAGTTTTATTGATTTGTATTTGTGTTGTTTGAATGGCACCGTTAGGGCCACCCATACCTCAAAGTGTCACACGATGTCCACATCGAAGATATCGCGTATATAATGCACCGGAACTGGAGGATGGAGTCGCCGCGAATCGTAGCCCTTATTATCTCAAACGTGGCGCCACTTCGGGACTGGACTAACGCCAGACAAATCGCCGCCTTTAAGAAGGGCTTAATGAAGGTTTGGCTCACAAACTAACCGTCCATTGAATGCCATATTTAATAATTACTGTGTTTTATGTGTCAATAGGCGGCCAACTCGACCAATATGTGGATATTTACTAATGGGTTAAATATGGGCGCCTCCCGTCTCATTGGGGATGCCGTTGAGAACGAGATCAAGGAGTGGAAGGCCTACCGGGCCTCCAGTTCCGAGAAACCAATGCCTCATCTTAATGTGGTTGGAATCATGAGGGAAGACCACCTCAGATACGGTGACCACATCGACAGCGTTAGTATTTTCTCATTACATCGCTTATCTGATTATTGGATGTCTTTCCCCTCTATTACAGGAAAGGGTTGAACTTCAAAACGAAGGGAACGTATTCGAGGAGCAAAAGTTTGAGTTGAATGACAATCACTCGCATTATCTGATA